ACATTATAATGCCCCACGGCTGAAAGAGCGAGCATGTTTGGTGTGACGAGGATTCGAACACGCGACCCTCAGATTGCGAGTCGAGCACCTTAACCACCTGGCCATGCCGAGCCCAATTATTTACTTTGTGATGCCTGAAAAAGGAAAATGCAGAAGTTTAATGGCTTGCAGGTGGCAGAATTTTATTAAACAATAAACACGATATGAAGGCCTTCAGTAGTTTTGTATGACATGAATGAGTCAATTACATATACACAATTATGAGCGTTAAAACCTTTTGATGTGAATCTAACTGTAATTACTGACCTGCGGCCATTATTTTCATTCATATTCACGAGAGAGTGTCTCAATTTCGATATTGAAATATTCGACAAAATAGTGAATTGTCATGGAAATATACGAGTAATGGAGAGACTCATACTACATGTGAAAGATAATAGCTTTACTTGTTTCCTGGTAAGAGTAGTGTAAGATATTTCAACCATTTGGAATCAAAATGTTTAAATGGGTGAAATTATCAACAGTATGTGAAATTCTCAAATAGTAGCTTAAATGTCATAACAAATATAAACTAGGTGTAATCCAGTGTTTTATTTGACTGTGATAGAATGTTTTCAATCATGGAAATTGAAACATTTAGAAAAGCACACAGTTCTCCAAGTACTTTCTTAACATTACTTCAGTCTAAGGAGCAGCATAAGGTGAATGAAAATGCACAATGTTAAGTATACTAATTGGAGGTGGAAAGTATCGCCCAAGTAGTTAAGTCTTGTAAATCCCACCATTGCTAGAGCTAAACTTGCAACTGAAAGAAAGTCACTAAGGAAAGAGAATGAAAGCGTCAGAGAATATTAATGGTGAAAAGTTAATGTTACCTAATCTGGGCCAGTGTAAGTGTGTGGGATCTGGTTTGACAGTAAGCATGCTTTCCATTATCATGAAAATGACAACAAACAGCAGCATGGCTAAATATGTATTGGTCAAGCAGACTCAATGGGGCCTGTGAACCAAGCATTTCACAAGTACTAGGGATACACTTTCTACAGATGATTAGAGCATGAGAACGTGTGAATCTCATAGAAGTTCTGGTTGACCAAGGAAACTGGCATATTAATCAGCCTCTAAAAGTAGTTTTAGAGGAGATTAACAATCATAACCAGGTAGTTATGAACCTCTTGGAACCTACACATCAGATTGACCTTTTGAGCAATTAGACTTCACTGATCTTACACTTATATTCCAGAACTTTGATATTTAAGACTAAATTCTAGACCAAAATTGGCTATTTTGTTTTCAACTAGCTAGCAGCAATTTCATTCTTTTTGTATGCCAAATCCTCGAAATAGGCTGCTATGAAATAAGACAAAGTGCAAATTTAAAGTTTATTAGGTTTAATGTTAATTGTCAGCCTAAGGACAAGCCTGAATGAAGGAAGAAGGAGAAGTATGAATACACCATATATTCTATCTTTCTGAAATACTATAATATGTATTCTGAATTTATTCTTCATTTGGAATATGTTCAGGTTTCACATAACACATGTTTGAATAAAACTGTTGTTTCAAGTTACCCTTGATCTTTTATTATTCTCAAAAGCAGATATGTAATTACTACGTAGGGAAAACATTGCTTAATACTATATGTAGTGTAAGGATTTGGACAGCAGTGTCCTCCAATGTTTGTTTAGGTGAAATCTAAAGGTAACTGCCTCAGTTAAGTTGTAATGGGTAGCACATGTTACTCTAGGTAAATGTGAGGATCCTTACAAACTAAAAAAACTAGGATTTAGAAAGTTTTAAACATGCTATTCATTTAAACAGTCTGAAACAAGATCTTAACCAAGTAGTCTGAAGGAAGAATCAGTAAAAGCAATGGTCCAGTGTGTTTAAAACATCTAAGCGGATACATACAGTATGTTTCTGTTTCTTGGACTTAAAAAGTATTGTTAATTTTGTGTTTCACCTCTTCATTTTATTTAAAATCAATCCAGTCATTAAGAATTTTAATATTACTCCATAATCAATATCTTGATCAAATCTCTAGTTATCAAGTTGACCTATCTCACGTAGCTCTAGTATTACTTCAGTTTCAGCTGGCTGAACCACATTACCAATAAACAAATGTTCAAGTTGTTTAACTATGTTTGGAAGGGTATTGATGATTAAAGTGTCCAAGTTTTATATCATGCTGGGAATCTTGTGCTTCATTGATTGTTAATTTTGAAAAATATGTGTATTTGAAATAAATATTAATTTTTTGTTCCTTACATTTCTTCTATTGCAATTAACTTGAAAGTTGATTTTTATGTTAAATATTCTGCAGGTATATAAATTTGAAGACATTAATTTTCCCACTATAAAACCATTTGCTACCACTGTTCAAGGATGGTTTCATGCTTCACTTTTGAGTGACTAAACTGCCTCTCAGAACGCCTAATTTCTTGAAATTTTATGCTAGCTGTTGATCTATAAATATAAGACTATTTCAATAACACATTACTTTGTATTGAACATTTTTCTTTTATTTTGTTTATAGTAGCAAACACCTAGCTCATAAAAACCTGATAAAAATGTTTCAATTTGGGTTGTTTGTTACCATCAAAATGTTACAATACAGTAATGAGTGCTGATGCAAATACAAACATTTAAGCATCAACTGGCATGTGTAATCTTTGTTTACACACTTATATCATGAAAGAGTTAACACCTGT